GCCCAGCTCTACGAACGATATTCTACTCCCATACAAACGACTACTATATCCGCTAAGAACCCTAGCTTTTTATCTGCTCGAAATTCTTCGCTAGGAACCCTTGCTGCTTGAAGTGGATCCTCTGCTATCGACGCCATACCTTCACTTGGGAATTGTTCTATGGTTGTTTCAATCTTGAAAGATATTTTGACTTGTTGATTTTGTTTATTGACAGTTAAATGCTTGTCATTGATGCATAGTTTATTTTAAATCAGATGTTATTATTAAAAAAAACTTAGAACTAATATAATGGTTCTATAGAGATGAAAAAGAATGCAATTGCCAATTCTAAGTGTGTGAAAGCAACAATAAAGAAGTACACGATTGACAGGGAGATATGGACAACAGAGATGGACAATGAACTTGTTAATTCATTCCTACATCAACATAATGAAGGGAATAGAGTGACCAGACATTCATCACAGAGGCTTACATAGTTACATGTCAATCACTAGCTAGTGACTTGCAAAATAAGTTCGGAAGACCTTTCAAGAAAGATAAGGTTAAGGGGGGATGGTAGTTACTGAAAAGAAATTTTACAAAGTGTTATGATTTATTCAAAAATCTCTGTGGCTTTGCTTGGGATTCAATCTCAAAACGTTGTTTGGCTAAAACTGAAGTCTGGAAAACATTAGTAGTTCTCAAATTTAACTAAACTTTATTTTTCAGCTTATTTTACATATTGAAATTATTATGAAATTCTAAGTTCTCTTATTTCAATAAATTTTATTTAATAGGCTTACCCCGATGTTGAAGAGTGGCTGAGGAAACTGATTGCGAACTACGACAAGATGGTGATTATATGTGGAGAAGACCGAGCATATGGGGGGATGTCAGAAACCAGTGAGGATATTAGGAATGATAAATCATTTAGTGCAGATTCAATTGAGATTAGTGATAGTGTACATGAAGGTGTCAATGATGTTGATGTCACATTACCTCAGATCAGAGTTCGAGACGAACCTAAGTTCAATCGGTCAAAGAAATCCAATGATAATGTTGAAGATGGGAGAATAACAGCAGCACTTATGACGATTGGTGAAGCTTTTAAGGACAACACTTCTGCGCTTCGTGAGAGCATGTTAGCTTATGAAAAATCTCATCAAAAGCTTCTGGTTTCTGAAGTTGAGCTTTGGAAGCCTTTGGAGGATTTGCATATTAAAAATCATTTGATCAACCGAGCATATCTATATCTGACCGAGGTAAACTTGCAAGTGTACAAGTGCTGATATAGTAATAAATTCCGGTAAAATACCGGGTCGAATCCACAAGAAAACGTTGTTTAATTCAAGTCCGAGAGTAGATAGCTTTAAATGAAGAAATGAGTAAAGTGTAGGGATTTTGATTTGTGTTTTATATTTTTGGTTTTTCACTTTTTGTTCAAGAAGATAATTGTTAACTAATTTTGAGTTTAAGATGAATAATAAAAACAACTCAGGCTTCGGGATTGATGGATAGTCTACCCGGGGGTATATATCCGAAGGGTTATTACGGGGAGTAACTTAGAGAGAAGTCAGAGCAAGTAAGTAAAAGTAGAGAGAGAGTGTATTCAGTATGAATGCCGTTTTCAGCGTGGTTACAAATGAGGAAAGGGGGTGCTATTTATAGTAGCAATAAATGTCGGGCAGGGACACGTGTCAAGCGCTCATTGGCCGAGGGGTCACCTCAACTGGTTGGCGCTGGCAGCCGCATGTGGCCGCATTTAATGCGGCTGTTGGATGGGACGTCTGTGCGGGGTACGGTGATCTGTACGCATGTGAGGCGGATATCTTGTCGAGTGAGATGCCTTCGGCTATAGAGCAGTAGCCGAGGGCTCTTCCACCCGATGGCACCCTGGTGCCGAGGGCTCACAGTGCCGAGGGCTACTGTTTTCGCCGTTTTCCCCCAGTTTCTTAATTTGCTTGAGAAACCCGTTCTGTGAGAATTTGGAGCCTTCGGCCAGGGGGGCGAAGGCACCCCTGGCGCGTAGTGCGGGCTGCTTGGTACTCTAGGCGCTGTGATTTGGGCCTGTTGGGCCTTTTGGGCCTGTTGGGCCTTCGCTGGAGTAGTAGGAGTTTGTGGGCCGGGGGTTCCCGAGCCATATACTCCATCAGGAGTCCCTCACTCCTTTTGTCGAAAGGTACTTGAGGGAAAAGGAGTAATTTGTGCTTGCCCTTTGATGTTGTCCCGTCGTGATCTCTGAAGTTGGTGAGGAGTTGTTGCTTTTATGTCCCTGCCGAAGGCAGTCCCTCAGTTACCCACATGTCGGGACTTGAAGGCCTTCTTTGTTGTTTGTTGGAATTTCACAGATTTTGTATTTTAATGATTTTCCCGAGGGGGTCCTCCACTCCCCCACTCCTTGAGGCACTTGTAAAGTGGTGACAAGGAGTAGAGTAGTTGCGTTGCTGTTGTGGGCCGAAGGCTGACGTTTTTCGTTTCATTTTGGGGGGATGCCTCGTTAAAAACCTCATTAGGAAAAACCCTGTGGGAAAAAATCCTAATGAGGGAAAAAGAGTGCACCGAATTCCCCCAATGATGAATCGAAAATGTCAAACCTTGGTAAAAATGGAGAATAACGGGAATGCCGAAGGCTCTCTCTTCTGAGGGCTCCTGTGTTGATTGCCCGAAGGCTTGCTGTTGATGCCCTGGTGGCGCCGAAGGGGAGCCCCTCAATCCGTGGATCGAGGGCCTGCTGGATGAGGGCGGCAATGAAGTTGTTACCGGGGGATCCACTGTTTGTTGATTAGTTGGTGGTGAAGATACCCGAGGGCCCCCATTACCTGTGTGCGACGAGTATCCGTCAATGAAGGCAACTCCCCGGGGGCTACCCGGTTTTGCAGTGCTGGGGGGGAATTCCCGAGGGGTGCCCTGATATGAAGCCTTGGGTTTCTGAAGGAGTGATCCCGAAGGCGTCTGTTATGTGCTGTGTGGGGCGCAACCCGGGGGCACTTCTGAGTGAGTGTACCCGGAGGCTATCCCTGATGAAGTGGAGTGAAGTAGAAAACCCGGGGGCTTCCAGAATATAGCCGTTGGAAATATAGCCGTTGGAATATGTAACGACAGGCTATAGCCGTTGGGGGGGTGGCACACGTGGCGTGTGATGGCTGGCCGTTCGCGGGCGGCGTCACTGGTTGGGTGAAACGGCGGTGTGTAATGATGGCGGTCCGTCCGGAGGCCCGGTTTCCAGGCCCAAGCCCAGATTCCATCGCCTATAAATACCCCAAGGCCAGGCATTCCTCCGTGTGCGAAAACTTTGTTAGCGAAGCTCTGCCAATTTTTCTAGAGAGAGAAACAGCAGCCCTCGGTTGAATCCTCCTTTCTTAAGGTCAGTTCTCCACTTGCCCTTCAGCTCTTAGCTACCTGTATTGTGCCCTTAGGCTAGGAGATAGGATATTCTAGGAAACCTCAGTTTTCCCGAGCCTTCGAACTAGTGAGCAGATGTCATCACAGAGCGACTCCCAGGATATCTCGGGGGAGCCTTCGGTAGAGATGGAGACATGCTCAGATGTGGAGTCGTCGAGCGTGGAGTCTTCGGCGGGTGGTGACGCCGCAGTGGCCATGGAAGTGGAGAAGGACCTCCAGGCCGAAGTCGAAGCCGAGGGCTTCGAACAAGAAAACGAGGACGAAGAGCTTGCCCTCGCCGTGCAGACCGCCGAGCAAGAAGAGGAGAGGGAAAGGCTGAAGGTGACTGTTGCCATTCCCCCCCAACGGGGTGCCAGGGAAGCCAGCTCCTCCCGGCCATTGGACCCGACGCCCATAAGTGTGGCTCCCGGGAAGAAACACGGGACGAAGGCGGCCCCGAGGAAGAAGCAAGCGGCAGTGGATGCCGGGCGGCCGGTGGGCATACCCGAGGGCCATTCGTTCTTGAATACTGCCGCCCTAGAGCTGAAGACGAAGGCATCCCCGGCAGAATACCAGTCCACCCAGATGCTGGTTGGACCTTCAGCGCGCGTGGTGGAGCCCAAGGCGGATGATTTGCTGCGATACGCGCCCGAGGGGTGCTTTGCTGCTCACACCCTCTCGGTGGAGATGGGGCTCCAGTTCCCGCTCCATCCTTTTCTCTTGGAGTATCTGAGATTTGTTGGGTTGGCCCCTTGCCAGCTAACGCCCAACAGCCACTCCTACGTGGCCGGCTTCCTCTCCTTGTGTCAGAGCCGGGGGGTCGAGCCCACACTCGATCAATTCTTCATGTCCTTCAACCTTTGCCGGGGGGGACATTCAAATGCTGAGGGCTTTGCCAACCTTCAGCAGGTACCGGAGTTCCGGCTTTTTGATGATGTGCCCTCGTCTCACAAGGGGTGGAAAGAGAGGTTCTGCTACATCCGCCTCGAGGAGAATCCCTTCCCGGCCCAGCTCCGTAATAGCTTCCGGCGCCACCCGAAGGTGGGGAGCGCAGCTTTGGAGAAGAACGACAAAGTGCTTGCCAAGAAGCCGGAGGGGTCTGACAAGCATGTCAAGATCAGAGAAGTCACCCTTCCGGAGGATTTGCTTAGCCTGGGCTTCCGGCAATTCAGGCCGAGGGGCTCTTCGGATGGGAGATACCCTCCCCTCGATAGGGTCTTCGAAGGCGCTGGAGGTGATCACCGAATTGTTCACTGATGTGTTGATAGTTCTCCCTTATTATGCCCCCCTTTTTTTATGACGTAGTAACTGTAGCCCTCGATCTAACCCTTCTGTTTTTTTTTTGCTTGTAGGTAACAATATGGATGTTGGTTCCCTCTTCGCTTTGAAAAACGCGAAAGGAAAGAAGAAGGCCCCGGCGGGCCCTTCTGCCAGGGAGGGGCCCTCTCAAACTGCTGGCGCTGCTGCTGGTGCCGGAGGGTCCAAAGGCGCTGGGCCCAGCAAAAAGAAGGTTGCTGGAAAGGGGACCGAGCCCCCGGCCAAGAAGCCGAAGACCGCCGCCCCTACCAAATAACCGATCACCGATGTGGTGGTGATTGTGGACGAAGGGCACGCTTCTGCCTCCGCCCCCCAGGAACAAATTAATCAGGAGTTCTTTGGGCGGGAGAGGTTGGAGGCGATAGTGCCGAAGGGGGCCTCCGTGTTGGAGGGCAGTTTGAACCCTTCGGCTCTGATGAGCCAGATGCTGCCGTCGGCCGACCGACTGGCCCTTGCCCGGCTGGACGAGGGACCCCTCGAGGCGAAGGTCCTCCTGAATGCCGCCTCCGTAAGTCACCCTCCCTTCTCTGCTCATTGTTATGTTTTCCTTTTGTACTATGTCCATTATGCCTTATTCTTGCCTTCGTGAATTGCAGGCTTTTATGGGCCTCTGCGAGCACCTTCGAAGGGTGGATCAAATGAGGGAGGCCAAGGGTGCCGCCGAGGGGGAGGCCGCCCTTCTCAGGAAGAAGCTCGCTGAAGCCGAGGACTCTCTCCGGCTAGCCACCGACAGCGTGGAACAGAGGGTGCAGGCTGCAAGGGCCGAAGGGGTCAATGAGGGGCTAGCCAGGGCCGGGGAGGCCGCCGCCGAGGCCGCCTGTATTGCTACCGATGAAGCCCGTGCGGCTCAAGAAGAGGCCGTCTCCAAGGCCCGAGAGGATGCGGTGGCCAGCTTCATGGCCAAAGGGTGGAAGGCCGAAGACCGGAGGGAGTGGCTCGCTTCGGTGGTGGGGGCTTCAGTAGACGAGTGGGTCGGGGGCCCCGGGAAGATGTGGCTTGCTGAGAGGGGCGACTCGTACTACCAAGGCGGGGAGTTCTTCACCCAACGCCTCATCTACCGGAAGCTTGCGAAGCACTTCCAGGTGGCACCGGAGGAGTTCCGTCCCGAGGCTTATGGCCTCCCCCCCCCCCCCCCCCCGCCAGCCAGATGTCAGGATCCCGCTCCCCGAGGGGGAAGAGAGACCGGTTCTTGAAGACTCGGAGACCCTTCGGGAGTGCGGCCTTGGCGGTGAAGAGGATGAAGCCGAGAGCGAGGCGATATCTACAGTTCCCCCCTCTTAAATTGTATTCCCCCCTTTTGGTGTTGTAATTTGTTGGCCTCGGCCCCCTCTGTAAAGCACAATCAAACTTCTCTTTTTTTGAATGAATGAGTACACACGCCCTCGGGCCTTTGATATACAACCTGCTCCTTTTGGATTTGTTTATTGTCGAGTGTATGCCTTCGTCTTGATTTGGATGTATGTCTTGATCCTTTGAATGTATGTTTTAGGACTTAGAATGTTTTCTGATTGTAGCTTGCCACTGGAAGCCTTCGGTAGTTGGGCACCCTCTGCTGAATATGCAACCGAGGGTTTAGCAGGAATTAGGACTTAGAAAATTTTTCTAAGTGTAGCACAGCATGGGGCCTTCGGGTGTTTGTGGTAGCCCAATTCCTAGGACTTAGAAAAATTTTCTAAGTGTAGATTTTCCCTTGTGAGCCTTCGGGATATGGCATCCCTGCCTCATGTGTGAATGTTGGACCGAGGGCCCAATGCACAGGACTTAGAGATTTTTTGCAAGTGTAGTATGTCGTGTAGCCTTCGGCTACTGTGGAGCCCCAATTGATATATTGAATAGGCCGGGGGCCAATTCTTTAGGACTTAGAAAATTTTCTTGAGTGTTGATTCCTTGTGTACTGTAGCCCTCGATTGATAGGTAGCCTTCGGCAATTAGGTCCCTTGAGATGAGGGTACATATGTAGGACTTAGAAAATCTTCTAAGTGTGAAATCTCCCTTGGGAGCCTTCGGTAGATGGCATCCCTCCTTGATGTAAGAGTAGTTGACCGGGGGGGGAATATGCAGGACTTAGAGAATATTCTAAGTGTAGATTTTCCCTTGGGAGCCTTCGGGCGATAGGTGCCCTCTGACTCCACATCACTTTGCCAGATGCACGGGGGCTGCTCATTTAGGACAGAATATATTTTTTCAAGTGTTGTTGTATTGCATGACCTTCGGCTACCATATTCCCTTGGCTGTAATGCTGATTGGGCCGGGGGCCCAATCTTTAGGACTTAGAATTTTTTCAAGTGTTGCTTCCCTGTGTAGCCTTCGGGTGATAGGTGCCTTCTGACTCTACATTACTTTGCGAGATGCCCGGGGGCTGCTCCTTCAGGACTTAGAATTTTTTCTAAGCATAAATTGATGTTGAATCCTGTTGTTGTGAAGAAAGCCAATGAGGAGTGTGTGCCCTCGGCATACACTTTAAAAGTTGTAGGATTTGACCCTTGTCATGGGGAAAGGGCCCTCGGTATTTGTGCATAACAGATGCCTTCGGTGTTGGTTTGAAGTACCGTTTAGTGGACCTTGGATAGTCCAGTCCCTTTGTATTGTTGAAGCCTTCGGTGTTTTGGTGACCGGAGGTGACCAGGTAGTGGACTTAGCCGTTTCCTGATGATATTTCCATGAGTAGTATCCTCCGGGAAATAGGAGTCTTCAATTACCGGAGGTGTTCCCGTGGGGAGCCCTCGGCATGTTGTGATCTTGTTGGAGTGTACTCTTTGATTTCTCGCTGAGTCTACTCCCCTTCACCCCTTTTTTTTTTTGGTTGGTGGTGAAGGGAAGGCATCAAGAAACTTGGTTTCTTGGTAAGGCTGGGCCTATTAGGAGACCATCAGAATACACCAATGGCTCTCCTCCCTCGGGTTAACCTTCCGAGTTCCGAGGAGATCGAGGGACGTTTCCTGGGCACAAGATATGGTGGTCCGTAACCTGCCTCCCCTTGGGGGATGGCGCGGAAAGCGCCTCATTTTTGAAAGTCGTCCCCTCGGCGCTAGACATAGTCCGTGGCCTGCCACACCCTTGGGGTGGTGGCGCGGGGAGCGTTTCGGTTTGGAAGTCGAATCCTGGGCATTTCTCATGCCTGTCATACCCTGGGGGTAGTGACGCGGATAGCGTTCCGTTTTTGAAAGTCGAATCCTGGGCATTTCTCATGCCTGTCACACCCTAGGGGTAGTGACGCGGAAAGCGTTTCAAGGAAGGGTTTTCATTTGCACACTAGTTGCAAATGGCCGGGGGCACTACGTGCTGCCGGCACCGATGGTGGCGCCTTCGGTATATGCGTCCTCGTGGGGTACGGCTTTTAGAAACAACACTTGGTGTTAGTTTCGATGTGTAGCCCCCGGTACTTGGTACCGAGGGGTCTTCTGTAGGAACACTTGGTGTTCTCTTTTGTTGTAGTTGATGTAGGCGTCTACCCTCGGTACTTGGTACCGAAGGGTCTTCAAATGAAACACTCGGTGTTTCCCAACAGATGTTTGGAAGTTGATAGGAGAGCATATCCCTGGCACTGGGTGCCGAGGGGTCTTCTTTGAAACATTTTGGTGTTTCTTCTTCGTTTTGATGATGGAGGTGTACTCTCGGCACTGGGTGTCGAAGGGTCTTCTGTAGGAACACTTGGTGTTCTCATCTTTTCTTTTTTGATGTTGAAGGTGGGGATGTACCCTCGGCACTGGGTGCCGAAGGGAAATGAAACACATGGCGTTCCTTGTTGTTGGTGATAAGAGTATCCTCCCTCGGTACTTGGTACCGAGGGGTCTTGACTGAAAACACGTGGTGTTTTCACTGTTGTTGTAGGTGTTGATGGTGTCCGCCCTCGGCACTTGGTGCCGGAGGGGGTTCTTCTCGTGGTGAGGCCTGGGGCCTGTAGTCAGTATGAGGGCTTGATGTCTTGAATGTATCTTCATTCTTCGAATTGGAGGCCTTGGGCCATAGGATAGTACATTCACTAGTTATGAGGGCTTGGCCGCTCTTACATTATTGATAAAATTTAACTAAATGGTGTACATTCCAGTGCCTAGGGACTTCTTTCCCATTGGGGCGTTTGAGCTTGTAGGTCCCGGGTTTGATGATGGCTGCTATAATGTAGGGGCCTTCGAATTTTGGTGCCATTTTTCCTCCCTCGGTTGGTTGGTTGGCTTCCCTCCTCCGGAGGACATAGTCCCCCACTTGAAATTCTCGGGTTCGAACTTTGGCGTCGATGTAGCTTTTAACTTGCCTTCGGTAGTTTTCTGCCCGGATGAAGGCCTGCTCCCGGCGTTCTGAAATGAGGTGGAGGTCGAGGGCCATGTTGCTGTCGTTGACCTCGGGGTCATATTGGATCACCCTTCGGGTGGGAAGGGTGACTTCCGTAGGAGCCTTGGCTTCAAAACCGTAGCAGAGGGAGAAGGGTGTTTCACCTATTGCTCGCCGAGGGGTGGTGCGATAGGCCCAAAGGATGTTGTGGAGTTCTTCTACCCAGCCACCGCCCTCGGCCTCCAGCTTCTTTTTTAGGCCCTCGAGCAAGGTCCGGTTGGCGTTCTCTACCTGCCCGTTGCCTTGAGGGTAGGCAACGGAGGAGAAGGTGTGTTTGATGCCCCATGCCTCCAGAAGGGCACAAAAGGGGGCTGCCTCAAATTGTGTCTCATTGTCGGAGATGATCTGCTGGGGGACGCCAAACCTTGTGAGGATGTTCTTGAGGACGAAGTGACGGCACTTCGCCTCTGTGATGCTGGCGAGGGGTTCAGCCTCCACCCACTTGGTAAAATAGTCGACGGCCACAATGATGTATCTGTTGTTGGAGGTACCCCTCGGCAGAGGGCCCACAAGGTCTATCCCCCATCGAGAAAATGGGACAGAGGTGCTGATGAGGGCATAGTTGACCGCTGGTCTGCCGGGAGCTTTCTGGAAATGTTGACATGCGGTGCACCTTCGGGCAAGGTCAGCACAGTCCCTGGCCATGGTTGGCCAGAAGTAGCCCTGGAGAATGAGCCTTCGGGACATGGAGAAGGGTCCCTGGTGAGCTGAGCAAGTGCCACTGTGCACTTCCTCCATTGCGACCTCGGCTTCATCTGGATGAAGGCACCGAAGTAGCGTGCCATTGTAAGATCGTTTGTAGAGCCTCCCATCTTCGATGGTGTAGCTAGGAGCCCTCAGCTTTGCCAGTTTAGCGCGGGCCTCATTCTCGGGTAGCTGCCCTGTGGAGATGAAGGCGATGATATCTGAGATCCAATCCTCCTGACGTTGTTGTATGTTCATAACGGGGCTTGCGTGGATGCTTGAGAGGCTAAGTTCCTCGATTTTGGCAATTTTGGAGATGTGCTCGGGGGAGTCGGCCGAGAGCTTAGATAATATGTCGGCCTCGGAGTTCTGAGCCCTCGGTATTTGAGTGAGAGAGTGTGCCTCAAATACCTTAAGCAACTCCTTGGCCGCTTCTTTGTACTGTTTCATTCTCCCCTCCTTGGCCTCATATTCTTCGGAGATTTGGCCAACGACCAACTTGGAGTCGCATTTGATGTGGATCTACCGAGCCCTCATGTTGGCAGCCAGCCGAAGGCCACATAGGAGGGCCTCATATTCGGCCTCATTGTTGGAGACCTTGAAGGAGAAGCGGATTGCATAGTAGGCCCTGAAGCCCTCGGGAGTAATGAGGACTACCCCTCCCCCGCATGCTTTGGTCGCGGAGGAGCCATCAGTGTAGAGGGTCCACCAGTCGTCCGAGGTAGCCGAGGGCTCCCCGTCCGTGGCTGCCCTTGCGGTACACTCCGTCACAAAGTCGTCCAGGGCTTGGCCCTTGATGGCAAGCCTTGGGCGGATGTCAATGTTGTACTGGCTCAAGAAGATAGCCCATTTCACCATGCGGGAGGAGCTGGTGGGGCTCCTCATGAGGGCGCCGAGGGGTTGATGAGTGAGGACCTGAACTGGGTGAGCCTGAAAGTAGTGGCCCAACTTTTTGACAGTCCAAACGATGGCTAACACCGTTTTTTCCACAGGGGAGTACCTGAGCTCGGCCTCCCTTAGGGTCTTGCTAACGTAGAAGATGGCATGTTGGATGCCGTCTTCCTCCCGGATGAGCACAGAGCTGATGGCCGCCGGGCTAACCCCAAGGTAGAGG